GGAAAGACCAGCGGTGGAGCAGCAAATAGGAGGATATATGGGGCTGGGCTGTCAGTAGAGCTTGGGGTGAGATGACAAGGGAACTGAAGACCAGCTGCACTGGACCAAAGCAGAGGGATGCAGGTCAGAGACAGGCCAACTGCTGGCCTGCCGGAGTGGTTACTCCTACTGGAGGCTCCTCCTGAGGGGCCAGGGCTGGGGCTAGAGGGTTTCTGTAGTCAGGGTTGGGGATGTGAATTTGTGCTGCGGCTCAAGGGAACTGGGCTAGAGAATGAGGAGCACAAATAGGATGAGGAAACTCAAGGGTTACCTTCATGCTGTCAGTTTGAGAGAAAACTGGGAGTACAAGGGGGATTTTAAGGAAGGTGAGAGTATAGACTTTGTTTTGAGGTGCATGGACTAAATGAGGTTTTAGGGCTTCATCCTGGGTATCTGTCATGTGTGTGTGCGGGTGTGCGTGTGCACGCAAGGAAGGGATCCTGGAAAGTCACAGTTTAAGTCAGCAGCAAGAGGGCTTGAGGTTAGACTAATGGCGTAATACTCAAATATGAGAGGCTGGAGCCACGGAGGGGAGGTGGAGGGCATTTCCAAGGTCCAGAGCTGGCAAGCAGACTTGGGAAGGTCAGGAGGACCTCTGCAGGGCCTGGTCGGGCCTGAGGCCCGCACAGACAGGGTGGTGGGGGAACTGCAGGGCCTTTCCCCAGGGGCTGAGGCAGCCCCCCGCCCGCTTGGCTGGGTTGAAGGGTGGTACCAGCAGGAGCTGCCCCATGGCTTCTCCCCTGGGGTTCTGAGGTCCAATGGGAATGTGGGGCCAAGTTCTATGTCACCGGGCCCTAGTAACCTCCCTTTGGCTCCACAGCATCTAAAAATCTGAAAGACAAAATATGTCTCAAGTAATCGGGCAGAGGCGGTAAGCACCCCGTCCCATTCTGCATCCCCAGCCCCATCCTCCGCCCAGCGCACTTCAGTGTCCCTTCCCTGTCCCACCCTCAGCCTCTCCCTTATGGCAGCTGCTCTCCCCAGACCCCCTCCTTCCCACCCACCCCTAGCCCATGGGGCCCCAGAAAAAGGGCCTCTCCCTCCTGTCTCTCACCCTCCGTTGGACAGCCAAGGCTCAGCTGGGCCTTGGGGTGAGGAGTGGCTCAGAGAGTCCCAGATGAGGGTTGGCAATGGGTCAGTGGGTTCTAACTGTCACCATGTAGGTGGCACTCAACTGAATGGAACCACCACCTCTCTCCCTCTCAGGCTCAGCTCTCTAGGGTGAACAAGAACTAGAGTCCTTGCAACATCCAAGGCCCTGCCTATCTAGTCCCCTTTACCCTCTGACCACCCCCACCTCTGGCTGCCTTCTCTCCCTACTCCAGCCACACTGACCTCTGTTGCTTTCTTCAAACACGCTCAGAGTCCTTCAGTGACTATTCCTTCTGCCTGAGACGCCCTTCCCACAGTTACCCACTTGGCCCACTCTCTCGCTTCTTGTCTTTGCTCAAATGTCGCCTTCCGTGAGGCTCACCCTGACAGCCCTATTTCAAACACCCCATCCCACCCGCTGCACTCCCAGTTCTCCTTTCCTTGTTCTATTGTTTCCACAGGACTTACTACCTTCTGACATACAAATGTGCTTGCTTATACATTCCACTGCCATCAGCTCCACGCAAGCAGGGACATTTGCCTGTTTGTGTGCTCTCGGATCTAGAGAATGAATAGTGCCCCTTTGTACTGATGACATTGCTGTCTCCAGCCCACATCTCTCTCCTTGGCTTTAGATCCTGTTTCCAAAGACCCACTGGTGCCCTACAGGCAGCTCAGATCCCAGTTGAAAACAGCCTCCTCGGCTCTCCCTACATCTACTCATCCTCTTGTGTCTCAGCTTAGTCAGGGGTCCCCTTCTCCTCAACTGCTCAAGCCAGAAGTCCAGGTCACGTCCTGATACTTCCCTGTCCTCCACGCCTCACATCTAGTCACCAAGCTCTTAAAATATCTAGAATGTGTGTGCCTCCCTCCACTCTTTCTAACAGCACCCTCTGTACCCATGACTTTCAGGCCACCACCTGCCCACGCATCAGAACTCTCTTCAGGCCTCCCCTCCCAGCCCTCCCCTGAGCTCCCTTGGTTCCAGGCTTCCCCTGTCTGGTGGTGTTGCCATAACCATCTCTTCCACTAAATGCAGCAAGCCAAGGGTGGAGACTGGATTTTCACTTTGTATCCCTGGTGCCTGATTCATAAGGAGATGCTCAATAAATGTTTGTTGAATGGAGAAATGTTGCTTAGAAGGTTGAATGGTTGGCTTCAGGGTAGTTGGATAGTTTATGGTTGACTAGTTGATTAGATAATTACATGAGTTAATAGGAAAGTAATTAAATGATTTAATGGCTAGTTAACAGGAGAGTGAATTGGTTAAGTTGCTAGATTAATGAGTCAAAGGGTCAGTAAATTGTTAGCTATTTAGTTCCTTGATTAGCAGATTACTTAGGTAATCTGGTTGGTTGTTAGTTTCTTGGTGTATAGGCTAGTTTTCTTGGATACTCTCTTTTCATTCTATACCCTCTCCTTGAGCTATCTCATCTATGCCCATGGCTCAAATGACCATCTGTCACCACGTTTGGTGACCTCCACATGTGTATCTAAGCGAGACCACAAGACCAACTGCCTCCTTATGGGTCGTCTCCACCTAAGTGTGTGGCAGGTTCCTCAACATATCTAGAAAGGACCTCGTCATTCTCCTGCCTAAACCCATGGCTTCTCTCCTGTGCCGCATGCTGGTCATTCTGTTGCTCTAGCCAGAACCTGAGGTCATCACTGGGCCTCCGCTCTCCATTCCCCTCTCTAATCAAACACCAAGTCTGTCAGATTGACTGTGCTCTCTGGCTATCTTCACTGCTGCCTCCTTAGCCTCAGGCCACCATCACCCCTCACAGTCTGTGAGAGGGCTCCCGAGACTTGCCATGCCTCCACTCTGCTTCCTACATCCTGGCCTCCATGGGGAAGGCAGCCCTCCTGCCGAGATCTTCCACCTGGCCCCCACAGTCCTCTGGTTGAGTTCAGAGTCTCTAACATGGGCCATGAGTCCTTCACCACCTCGCCCTGGCCTCTCTCTGCTCATCTTGTGCCACTTTCACTCCTCCTCTGGCTAGCCCATCCTTGCAGAATTCCTCTATACATCCTGTCATAGCTGCAGGCCTTTGCACCTGCCAATCCTATGTCCAGAACTGTCACCTGCCTCCCCAGATGCTCCTTTACAGGGCCAGCCTTGACCTAGATTTCCCTTCCTCTGGGAGAGCCTCCTACCCCCTCCTCTAGGCCATTCCCTTCCTCCACATGCTCCCATGGTGCCCACTTTTCACCTGTGGCAACACTCATCACACTTTATAGTAATTGCTTAATTAATTGTTTTTCTTCCAAAGATCTGGGATCACACCAGTGTCCTTTGCTGCAGTGCCTGAACATAGTAGGAATGCCAGGCATTTCGTAAATCTTTGGGTCATTGGCTGGTTGGTGGTTATTGCTGCTTTACTGTGTCTTGCCTGCTGTGTGGTGATGAGGAAGGAGCCAGGCTTCCAGACTTCTCCTGGTGTTCTTGGCTTCCTGTTCTGTCCACCTCTCTCCTGCCTCTGTGGTACCTCCCCAGGACTGTTCTTGGGTCCTCGCTTGCATCAGGCTGCTCATAGGCCCTTTTCCAGGGCTGAGGAGGCTGTAAGGGGACCCCTATATGATGATGCATGGGAGCTGGAGTTGGATGGAAGCCAGTGGGTCATCCAGGCAACGCTACAGCGCCCTCCATAGACTCAGCCCTGGGTCTGTTTCTGTGGTGTAAGGAACAGAGCCAAGGACTGGGGTGGGTGAGATATGAACACAGGGTCTCAGCTGCAAAAGTGGAAAATGTTTTATTCCATGGCTGGACATCTCTCATGCCCTCTGCTTACTTTTTGCTGCTCTGAGGCCAGGAGAATTTGGGAACTCTGAGGAATGAAGCTGCTATCCTTAGCAGGGTGAGGTAGTTGAGGGGCTGGCGTCAGCTTCTAGGTATCAAGACATTGAGGAGGGTGGGGTCACCGGTCTGAACAAGCATTAAGGCCACACTTAGAAGGACCTGAAGACCCTATCGCCTTCCCCAAACTTCAATCCTCTACCTCTCCCTCCACACAGATGTAGGGACCTGCAAACTCACTTTTTCATCTACCCGTCCATCCAAATGTGCACTTATTAAACAAATTTTCATCAGGTGCCAGGCACTTCAGGTAGCTCTGAGGATCTAGTTGAGTGTAAGACAGACAGATCCCGCAGTTCTCATTCATTCAACAAATATTTACTGCACGTCTACTATGTGCCTGGCATTATGCTAGGCACTGAGAATACACCAGGAAGTAAGATCCGGTTCCTCCTTTTCTCCCTTCCTCTCTTGTTCATTCATTCATTCACTCACAAACATCTGTATAGACTGGGTTGCAGATCCTGGTGCATTTTGCTGACCCCTGCATCTCTGGCAGAACCTGGTGCATGTTTCAGGGCTCAGTGCTATTCATAGAGCCCAGCAGCAGACTCTGCCACACCCCATGCTGTTTGCAGAGTACCTCACTGTTGCCAGGCCCCAGCCTCTGACTCCAAAGCTCTGGCTCCTGTAGATAAGCAGACAGACAACTGAGCTTCACTTTTCTGCCACTCTCTCCCACCCTGCTTCTCCCCAGAGGCTCCTTAGCACCACAGACTTTACTTTCAACTGCCCCCCCTCACTCCTGCATGGGAGGTGTGGGAAGGATGCTTCATTTGTGCATCCTTCCCATGGGTCCAGTCCTGACTAGAAGGAAGTAAAAGGCATGGCCTGGCCATCTACCTCAGTTCCTCTCGATGTCCCTGTAGCTCTCAGGTGTCTCCCATCCTAGCTGTCCCAGCTGCCTTGGGCAAGAGGAGGTGTGGTTGGTGAGGCTGCTGGGTTACCCATTAACTCGGCCATGAGTTCAGGGCCAATGGGCAGCAGGTGGACTTGAGTCTTCTTTCTGTCCATGGGCTTGGGTTGCTGCTTCAGGCCCACCCGCAGCTCCAGGATGAACTCCAGTGTGGTAGTAACAAGGATGCATGCAGCACTGCGGACGCAGCTGGTACGGGAGTTCCTGGCTGAGTTCATGAGCACATATGTCATGATGGTGAGTGGGTGAGTGGCACTGGGGGGGTGGAGCACAGCAATGGCAGCCCATGACCCCCTTCCCACTGCTGACCTCATGGGTCACACTGTCCATTCCCCTGCCTTTGAGCTGGGAGCCTGGGGAAGAAGCAGACAAAAGTAAAGAGAGAGGCCTCTCTCACCAAGTCTTTTTGGGACAGAAAGGTCTCATAATATGTGGGAGTAGAGTGAAACCATGGGCTGGGGTATCCAGGGACATGGCTAGAAGTGTGGACAAGGGAAAGCAAAGGGAAAGAGATTGAAGAGAACCTTTGAACATCAGGCTTTGAGAATTAATCCTAAAGGCAATGGGGTGACATTGACGGTTATCGAGCAGGAAAGTGAGATGATCAGATTTAGATTTTTGAAGGTAATTTTGGATGCACTGTGAGGCCTAGGCAAGGCTGGCAGGAGGGAAGTCTGCTAGAGGCTGCTGTAATGATCTAGGATAGAGAGAGGGTGGTGACTGGTCTGGGGATGGAGAAGAAAGCATGTGTTCGAGAGAGCTGTAGAAAGTGGATCAAGGGGACTTTGCAAGCAGCAGATGTGGGGGAGGTGCTGATGTGACATTTTGGAGCCAGCCCAGCACAGGGTGATAGGTGAGGTTGGTTTGGATGCGGCCAGGTGAGATGCCCATGGAGAAATCCAGGAGATACTTAAATATAGAGGTCTGTAGCTCAAGAGAGAGGCTTGGGCTGGAAGGAAATGTGTGAAATTCATCAGAATATGAGTGGCGGTTATCAAAACTGTCCAGAAAGAGTATACAGAAAGAGAAAAAAAGAGGTTGAGGACAGAGCCCTGAGGAATGAAGAAGTACACACAAAGGAGCCTGGGCGGGAATGATCAGAGAGGTAGGAGGAGAACCAGAAGGGACCGTGATACAGAGGGGAGGCAGCAGTTCCACCAGCAGAGAGCAGTCAGCAGTGTGGGAAGCTGCAGACGGGACAAACAAGGTGAGCACTGATGAGCACCCTAGGGTTTGGCAACATGGAGGTCACTGGTAACCTTGACAAGGGCTCTTCTTTCTTTCTTTCTTTTTTTGAGATGGAGTGTCACTCTGTCACCTGGGCTAGAGTGTCATGGTGTCAGCCTAGCTCACAGCAGCCTCAAACTCTTGGGCTGAAGCAATTCTCCTGCCTCAGCCTCCTGAGTAGCTGAGACTGTAGGCACATGTCGCCATACCCAGCTAATTATTTTCTATTTCTAGTAGAGATGGGGTCTTGTGCTTGCTCAGACTGGTCTCGAATTCCTGACCTCAAGCGATCTTCCCGCCTCGGCCTCCCAGAGTGTTAGGATTACAGGCATGAGCCACTATGCCCGGCCAAGGGCTCTTCTTTAATGTGTGATCAGGACAGAAATCAGACTGTAAGTGGGATGTGAAGTTTCTCGGAATCCCCCTCTCTTCTCCCCTGCTTTAGCTCTGTCACTTACCCCAGTGAGCCTCTGCCCTTCACAGGACCTGTAGCCATGCTCATTGCATCTTACAGAAGGTCCGGGTCCAGGAAAAGAAGGGGCAGCCTCTGGGAAGGGAAGCAAAGGTGGTCAGGGGCATGCTAGACGAAGTAGGGGTAAGAGAGGCTGTGTGTGTGTGTGTGTGTGTGTGTGTGTGTGTGTAGGCGGGCGTGCATGTGTGTGTGTGGTTGTGTTTGTATGAGTGAGCATGAGTGTAACTGTGCCACAGTGCAGGAGAGGGTGGGGCCCAGGGAGACCAAGGGCTGGAGGGACTCTGAGTTCTTATCCTGACCCTGCTACTGAGTTAGTTACCAGGCGGCCTTGGGCAGGGGTGGCTTAGAGCTCATCTTCTCACTTACTAAGTGTGTAGAATCAGGCCTTGACGGGCTTTGGAGCTGGGTTTAAATTCTGGTTCTGCCATCTTCTTTCTGTATCATCTTCCACAAGTATCTTAACTATTCAAAACTTTACCTTCGACCAGGTGTGGTGGCTCATGCCTGTGTAATCCTAGCACTCTGGGAGGCCAAGGCAAGAGGATCCTGGCCTTGAGGCCAGGAATTCAAGACCAGCCTGAGCAAGAATGAGACCCCATCTCTACAAAAAAATACAAAAATTAGCTGGGTGTGGTGGTGCGCACCTGTAGTCCCAGCTACTTGGACGGGCTGAGGTAGGAGGATCGCTTGAGCCCAAGGCCCAGGAGTTTGAGGTTGCAGTGAGCTATGTCGCTGCACTCCAGCCTGGGTGACACAGTGAGACTCCGTCTCAAAAAAAAAAGAAAGAACTTTAGCTTCCTTGTTGGTAGACATGAACACAAATTGAGCTGGCAGACTGTGTGAAGAAGGCCAAGTGCCAGCACCCAGTACACATGTGGTACCCACGTGTTGGTCCCTTGTTACTCTGACAAGTGCTCTCAGCGTCTCTCTTCTCCCTGCATCTGGCCCTCTCCCCCTCCTCCCTTACCTACTCTCCTGCTTCTGCTCCTGAGCTGTGAGGACAGCAGCTGGATCCTGTCCCTCCATAATCCAGGGCAAAGTAATTCATTTATGACAAGACATGCCAGCCCCATGAGGGCTGTTAAACCTTGGAACCTCAGAGGCATGAGGGTGCCTCCTCAGAGAGCTCTTAGGGAAAGCAGGCATCCCTCCACACATTGGTACCTGCCTATACCTGTGCTTCTCTTCACTTTACTGAGATTATTATTGAGCACTTACTGTATACTAGGCACTATGATGCTACACCCCTTACATGCAGCATCTTCTCAAATGCTCACGACAGCCCTGTGAGATAGGTACTGTTACTATCTCAATTTCACAGATGGGGAAACTGTGACTAAGAGTTTAGTCATGGGGAAACATGAGACTAAGTCACTTGCCCAAGGTCACACTTTAAGGCATGGTTTTGACCCTTAACCTCTATGCTCTGTCCCTTAGCTTAACTATGGCAGGCTTTCTAAGACTCTGGCCTGTTAACTCTCCCCTAGGTGGGGTAAGGCCCTCACTTTCAGGCTTTGGGTAGTTTAAGATGCCTCTCTGAGCTTCAGTTTCCCTAACTGGAGAGTGGGAGCAAAATTACTTGCTACAAAGGTTTGCTGTGAGGATTGAAGGGTGGTAATGCTTATAAAAGATTTGTGAGGTTGAAGCTCATATAGGACATTGTGTTGTTATTTTTATTTCTTTTTCTTTTCACAGGTGTTGATGTTGTTATTTTTAGTTGCCAGGCTGTGCCAAGAAGTGGGGACTTTTTTAGTTGACAGGAAGCTCAGTGCGTCACCAGGGTGAAGGTTTTGCCAAAAAAGCTAACGTGACCTTGGGCCCCATTTATTGTAGCCAGGATGAAGGAAGCGGACTGTTCCACTCTACAACCTCTAGGGGTGTTGTCCTTGGAGCTGGCCTCCTGCATGTTGGGGAGACTTTGATGGGCTAGGCCACATTCACTGACCAGGGAGGGAGGGGTAGGGCTGGAGTCATCTGGGCCCTAGAAAACCAGCCATACACGTGAGCCATAGGGCAAGGGTTGCCCACGCACATGCTACAGAGGTTGAGAGAGAGTCACTCAGGGTGGTAGGGACTTTGGCTAACCGCAGAGCGCTAATCTGTGTAAGGGAGTAGCTGCCACTACTTCAGCTGACCGTTGCCAGGAAGAGTGCAATGCGGGCCAGTGCTGCCTGAATTTTTCTTTTTTCAACAGAGGCTGAAATCTCTGGTCTTCAAGACCAAGTTGTCAAAACAACTCCCCACCCCTACCCCCACCTGTGCTTATCCTCTCCTGCTGTGTTCTATCCTGGACCCTAAGCCAGCCCATCTCTGGGCTCCCCTGCCCCTGTCCTGGGGCTTCTGAGGGACCCAGCGGGCCTTGGGCCTTGCTCACTGCCTCTCCCCTACTCTCTCTGGGCTATTTGACATTTTCTCAGACTTCCCCCAACCACTCTGTACTCTGCCTGTCCTTTTTATTAGCAAATGGCTTGATCTCCTGCTTGACAGAGAAAATCATCACGTGGACCTCCTGTGTCAAGCTCCTCACCCTCCTAGCCCTCTCACCACCAGACCCGTTATCTACCTGTGTAGCAATACCTCTCCCCTTGGCTGCGGCAGGGGTCCCCTCCTTCCTGGAGGACCCCTCCACTTCTGCACCAGTCTACCTCTCCAGCCTGTTGAGGTAATTTGATCTGTCCTTTTCTCTCTCTTTTATCTTTGGCCGTCCTTCTCCCAATCTATAAACATACTGAAGTTTCTCCACTTAAAAGAACACAGCACAAAATGAAACATCCCTCCCTTCACCCTGTGAGCCCCTTCATTTATCACATGTTCTCTTCCTCCCACCTCAGCTAAGTTCTCGAAGAGGTGTCTACACTGGTACCTTTCAACTCTTCCTTGCCACTTACTCACCTCTCAAGCTCTGAGACCTGGCTTCTGCCCCCATGGTCTGATGATACAATGTTCACTATGTTACTAATGGCTGTTGGATTGTCACATCCACAAGGACACTTTCTAGGCTTTCACACACTTGACTTGGAGGCTGCACATGACAGTGTGGCCCACACTCTCCTTGAGAAACTGTTTCTACTGGTGTCCATGACACATTCTCTCTTTGTTCCTCTCCCATTTCAACACCTGCTTCAGCTGAGGTTTCTAATGCCCACCCATGAGTGCTGATGTGTGGCTCTAGGTTCAACCACCAGCTGCCTTCTCACCTTGTTTCTCTCCTGGGGCCTTCATCCCCTGATGGCTTTGGCTTTAGCCCTCATGTCCACCATTCCCTAGGTTTTCTCCAGCCTGCTTGGGTACTTTGCTGTCCAAGGGAAATACAATTTGAGCCACATATGTAATTTTAAATTTTCTAGTAGCTACATTAAAAAGCTAAAAAGCATCAGGTGAAATTAATTTTAGTAATTATAATTAACCTATATATCCAAAATATTATTTCATGTAGTCAATATAAAATTATTAAGACAGTCTGTATTCTCCTATCCCTACTACTCTTCGAAAGCTGGTATATATTTTACATTTATAGCAGATCTTGGTTTGGACTAGCCACATTTTAAGTGCATAATAGCCACATGTGGTTAGTGGCTGCCATATTGGATGACACAGATCCAGACCCTGATTTCCAGCAGCTTGGACATCTAGAAGTCCCTCAAAAACTACATCTGTAAAACACATGGACTTATCAAAGGAGGTGCCATCTGAGATTGGCCTTATAGAGTATCAATTTTTCAGGATTTAGGATCAAGTATTCCAGGCAGAGGGAACAGCATACGCAAAAACACGGAGGCATGAGAAAGCAAGGCATGCACAGAGCAGTGTGGTTGTTTGGTCTGAGGCCATCTGGCATAGGTGACTGCCTGGATTCAGTCCTGGCTCAGCATGTATAGGCTGTGTGACCTTGGACAAGACATTCAATTTCTCTAAGCATCAAGTCGTCCATCTGTCAAATGGGGAGAATAATAGTACTTAACTTGTAAGATTAGTGCGAGGGTTAAGGGAGGTGATAGATATAACTTGCTTACCAGTACCTGGCACATAAGTGCTCAATAAATGGTAATTTTTATTTAATAGTGATACTATTGTTGAACATAGAGAATATTGGGGCAGACATGAAACTGAGAGGCAGAAGAAATGAAATTATGAGTTTGGACTTTATCCTAGAAATGGAGGGGAGCCAGTGAATGTTTGAGCAAGGGGCAGACATGATCAGATTTTTGTTAAAGGTCACTCTGGCTGCAAGCAGAAGGCTGGGTAAGAGCTGGGGAGAATGTAAGCAGAGTTGATTGAGATGCCCATGGAACACCCAGGAGAGTCCCAGTGGGTATTTGGAAATAGGGATCTGGCTCCCAGGTGGAGATCGTGCGAATTTTAGTGCACTAGGCCTATCTGAAGCCATAGATGTGGTAGGAAGACCCAGGAGGAGTGACCGGGCTGAGAAGTGAAAGGGGCCAGGGATGGAGCCTGCGATCATTTGTGTTCATGAGGCAGAAGGAAGAAGAATGTGAGAAGGAACTATAGAGAGGGAGGGCTAGCGGAGTGGAAGGAAAACCAGGAGAGAGAGATGTCATGAAGGCCAAAGAAGAGGCACTTTCCAGAAGCACAGAGTGGTCAAGAGCACCAGAGTTAGCAAAGTCAAGTAAGACAGTGTATGAAGAGACCTTTGGGAAATGAGGAGGCTGCTGGGGCCCTTGGGGAGAACTTGGGTGTCTGTCACACGTGGAAGCGGAAGCCAGGTCGAGGAGGGAATGCAAGGTGAGGGGTACAGGAGCTGGCCAGGGGGTTCTTCCCTGGAGCCTGACTGAAACAGGGAGGGGCATCCAGGAGCCCATGGCTGGAGACAGAGGCAGGAAGGTTTGTCAGACTCAAGTCTGCGGGTGCCAGTCAAGGGGGAGGAGACAGGTACAGGAAAGACGGAGGCCTCTCTAGAGGGAGAGGGTGGGCAGAGGAAGTAGAGCTGAAGGGGGAGGTGGACACAGATTGAGGTTGGGTGAGGGCCTCTATTCTCCCTGTGAAGGTGGGCTGTCATCTGAGGAGTGGCTAGGGGTGGGCGAGATTAAGAAGTTTGGGAATGAAGGCAAGAGACTTAGAACCCCACTGGCTTCCAAGGTTGGTGGGTGTGGGGCGCAGAGTCCAGGCACGGAGTTTGAAGATGCCTGGAAGAACTTCCTTCAGGCTAGCCTCTAGTGTGAGATGCTCTGAGGGGCACCGTCCACACCACCCACCCCTTCCTCACAGCCCTGCCTCATCCTGAACTTCAGGTGGGCTTGGGGTTTAGGTGCCTGGATGTGTATCATAAGAGCCTCTAACTCTGCCACCCCACCCAGCTCCCCCCAGCTCAGGTCTGAGAAGCCTCGACAGGGGCAAGGGAGGAGAGGTCACACGGAGGGAAGGCTCTTGAGGAAGAGGGAGTGGCAGAGGGTCTTTAAGGGCAATGCTGGGGAGGCCTAAGGCCTGGGGGTGAGGAGCTAGAACTGAGCTCTGAGCCCTCACCTGAGGTTGGGGCTTCTGGGCAGGCGGCCCCCTTAGAGGCCCTCCCTTGTAGGTGTTTGGCCTCGGTTCCGTGGCCCATATGGTTCTAGGAGATAAAAAACTCGGGAGCTACCTCGGTGTCAACTTGGGTTTTGGCTTCGGAGTCACCATGGGAGTGTACGTAGCAGGCGACATCTCTGGTGAGTGAGCCCCGGCCCCACCTGACCGGGCAAGGCCAGGTGTTCCCTGCAGGCTCTTTTTTGTCCACCTCCAGCCACCCCTTCTCTGACATAGCCTCTGTCTGCCCCCTTGCTGGTCACTTCGGGGGAGGAGAGCACCTCTAACCCCTTGCCTATGAGTGTGTCTGCCCCAGACTCTTCATGGGCCCCCTTGACTCACCGTTTTTACTAGCTGGGTCATTTTGGCAAGTTATTTACCTTATCTGTCCCTCACTTTCCTTAATGGTGAAGTGGAGATGGTGGTCCCTGCCTTGTGGGGTTGTTGTGAGGTTAAATGAGAGAGGTCTTGCCACAGAGAACATAATCCATAAACACCAGCCATTATTATTACTGTTGTTGTTGTTGCTCTCAATATTATCTATACTGTTGTTTGATTCTCACTCCCAACACACTTGTGCCCTTCCGACAGGGGCCCACATGAATGCGGCAGTGACCTTTACTAGCTGTGCATTAGGTCGCATGTCCTGGAAGAAGTTTCCTGTGTACGTGGTGGGTCAGTTCCTGGGCTCCTTCATGGCTGCTGCCACCATCTACAGCCTCTTTTACCGTGAGTACGGTTGTGCCCTGAATTGTCCGGGCACAGGACAACCTCGGCCTGGGCTCAGCCTCCTCCTCTGAAATATGGGACCTCAATGTCCTGGTCTGTCAAAATGTCCAGGAGAGAAAAGCCTGGTAGCTCCCCAACCTTCTGTTCTACAACCTCATTTCTGGAACCCCAGTGGGGTTTAGCAGGGTAGGGAGTCAGGTTCGCATTCAATCTGTGTCTCCACAGCAGCCATTATCCGCTTCTCGGGTGGAGAGCTGACAGTGATCGGTCCCACAGCCACCGCTGGCATTTTTGCCACCTACCTTCCAGATTACATGACACTGTGGCGGGGCTTCCTGGATGAGGTCAGTGGTCCAGGATGGGTACCCACCCCCAAACCCTCGACCCCTCAGGAAGGAGCCAGCAGGGAGCCTCTCACGTTAGAGAGGACAAGAACTCTGGAAGGGGATTGTACTAAGACATGTCTCTGCCGGTGGGTTTGGATTTGGGGCACTGCTGAGGCCCTGTGGCTTGTCTAGGGGCCCCAGGTGGGCTGCCACAGTGTCTGCTCCCCAGGTGTTAGTGACGGGGATGCTCCAGCTGTGTCTCCTCGCCATCACGGACAAGAAGAACCCAGAATTTCAAGGGACACAGCCCCTGGTGATTGGCGTCCTTGTTGTCATCATTGGGGTGTCCCTAGGCATGAACTCAGGATATGCTATCAACCCCTCCCGGGACCTGCCCCCCCGCTTCTTCACCTACCTTGCCGGCTGGGGCAAGCAAGTCTTCAGGTACTTCCCTGACTAGGCCCATTCCTGTGGGTTTTCTGGGGGTCCCCTGCATGTAGAGGGGTGGGGGGTGATGTGAGGGGCAGCACAGGAGAGTCCTGTAGAGCTCCCAGGTGGCCAGGGGAGGAGTGGGTCCCTAAGTTCCCCCAGACCAGCACAGATGCAGATCCTGATCCTGGAACTGAATGTCAACCCTGTCCCTGAATCAGGCTGAGGGTGTCTCCTGGGGTAGGATGGGGATGACTCCCCTACATACCCCATCTTGGCCTGAGGTGGATGCGGGTGCTATCCTGAGCATCAGACCCCTCAGTAAGCCTCTGACTCTTGCCTGCAGGGCTGGGGATAACTGGTGGTGGGTGCCAGTGGTGGCACCAATTCTGGGTGCCTACCTAGGTGGCATTATCTACCTGCTCTTCATTGGCTCCAACACCCCACGGAAGCCCGAGAAGTTGGAGGACCCTGCGGCATTTGAAGACCACAGGATATCTATATTGCCCAAGACCAGCCGTGATCCATCCATCATCTCTCCCCTCACCCCTGTCTCTGTGGCCCCTACCAACAGATCTGCAGTCCCTTCTTCCTTCACCCCTGTCTCTGCAGCCCCTAGCAAAAGATCTTCAGTCCAGCCTGCCCCACCCGTACATGGCTCCACGCATGTAGAGCACTTCTAAGTAGAGATTCTTTGTGACCCCATCCCTATCCCAATAAAGAAAGCCTGTCCCACAACAGCAGCTCCCCAACACTTCCTGGAGGCCTCCTGTGGTTGGGCTTACTCCTGGGTTCTTCCAGGAGCTCTAGAGTTGTGCCTTAGCCCAACGCTGGAGCATAGAGCTGAGAGGCCTCAACTTGTTCAAGCTCTGGGAGCTGGGGCGCCCTTTGGGGGAGAATGGGGAAGAGCTGACCTGTGACCTCAGTAAGGATAGGGTGAGAAGAAAGGATGACAGACACAGAATGGGGACTTTTAGGCATAGGGGAGGGAGGAATGGTTTGGTGGAAAGGACCACAGCTAGCTGGTGGAAAGCTGGCTTTGGGGATACTTTGAGGGTGCCCTGGAATGACTCTAGACTCTCTCCTGGTTCTTTGCTTCCCCCACTCATGGCCAGTTCTTGGACCAGACAAGGCAAGGCCCAAGAATGCAGATAGAATTTCTCAGCCTTTTCTTTCATTAGTGCCCTCCTCAGCAGCCTTTTAGACACTTTTTTTCTTAATCACATGAAATTTTAAAACCACAGATATACAATGTATCTGTTTATGTACTGTATGTATATCTGTGCTTCATACATAAAAAACGTTAGATTTTTTCACCCCCTTCCCAAGAATCAATTTTCATTCCCTTGAGAATGCTTGGTATAGGTTGAAATCAGGTAAGGGTTTGGGCTCCTTGTCCTTCTTCCTGGTGCCAGAGCATTCCTACATGAAGGAATTCCAGAGTTGGAAAGGAAGATGCAAAGAGGGAAATCCTTCAAAAAGGTGAAGAGACAGGAAAAGGCCTCAAGGGGCTCAGGCACAGAGGTGGGGTAGGGGTGGGGGAGCCAGGATCTGCTGGCCCTGGGGCCGGGCAGGAATCATCCTGTTTTCTGGGACTCAGAAGGCAGCATCACCCATGGTTCCTGTCATTGCTCACTCATACATTTAGCCTTTCAGCGATTATTGAGCACCTACCATGTGCAGGCCCTGCATGGACACTGGGGATGTGCAGTGGATGAGGCTGGGTCTCTGCCTTTGAGGAGTGCAGTCTAATGGGGGTAAGTAATTATGAGGAAGGAGCTAAGTGGTGGAGGGTGGGATGCCTGGAAGCTGTGGGGCTCAGGGTGATGGGGGGCTCACAGCCAGCCTCTGGGCAGAGGCCAGAGATACCTTCCCAGAGGAGGAGACAGAGCAGAGTTGGGGGGGAAGGTGTCTTTTCTGGGATGGGAACCATACTTTACAGTTTGAGGGGACAGGGGGCAGAGGAGGCTGGGCTTCCTTCTGGAGGTGGGAGACATACGAGGTGAGATTTAGAAAGCCCACCTGAGCTGCAGTGTGTGGATGCTGGCAATGGTGGAGACAGGCCTACAGAGACTGTGGTGAGAGGTAATAATCCAGGAGGAACAGCAAGGCACCCAACGGGTCAGTGCTGTGGACATGGAGAGGAGAGATGAGATTTGATCAATGCCTAAGAGGTCCAACTGGCAGGACCTGGGCTTGGTTTGGATGGAGGAGTGGGTGAGGGAGAGGGAGGAGTCAGGGAAGACTTCTAGTTTCTGGCTTGGGCCTGGGGAGTTGGGGAAGTCCCCACTGAGAGTGGAGCACCAGTGAGGAACTAGCCTGGAGAGGAAGATGATAAGTGATGTCGTGGACACGTTGAGTTTGAGTTGTCCGTGAGGTCTTGGGGTGTGAGAAGTGTGTGATCTTGGGCAAGTTACTCAACCTCTCTGGGCCTTGGTCTTCTCATTTGTAAAGTGAGGGAATAAGAATATTACCTACCATTTGTATTGCTGTGATTACTGAATGGACTAAAATACGTAAAACGGTTAGAATAGTTTCTGGCACAGAGTATGTGCTTAGTAAACACTCACAGTTATGCCTTTTATATGGTCTGGAGCTCAGAACAGAGCTGGAGACAGAGGTTCAGGAAGTCATGGCTTTGTGGATGTAGCTAGGCTGTGGAATAAGGAAAGGAGGGTCAGGGAGCAAAGCAAGAGGTGGACAGGAGACACTGGGAACAACCCAAATGTCCCTCATCAGGGGAATACATACACTGCTGTACAACTGCACATAACAGAATATTGTGCAGCAGTGGAAATTAAGGCATGACAGTTTCCTGCAACAACATGAGAACACTTTGAAGGTATAAAAACAATATAGTAGACTATATATAGTATGACACCAGTTTTATAGCTGAAGAACAAGCAAAAAGTAATATATTCTTTGGGCATATATATGTATGTAATAAAACTATTTAAAAAAATGATTCTGACAGGGAGATAGGTCTGGAGAAGAACACGAGGGTAGTACAAGCTGTTGATAATTTTCTAGTTGTGGCTGGGTGTGGTGGCTCACGCCTGTAATCCTAGCACTCTGGGAGGCCAAGGCAGGAGGATCACTTGAGCCCAGGAGTTTGAGGTTGCAGTGAGCTAAGATGATGCCACGGCACTCTACCTGGGACAATAGAGTGAGACTCTGTCTCAAAAAAAAAAAAAAAAAAAAGTGTATATAACATCTAGGTACAGTTAAGATAACAATAAAACAAAATAAAACCCCAAATGAAAAAAAATACTCAAGTGTCCACCACTGAACTTTGGGCAAGTTATTTAACCCCTCTGGGTCTCAAGTTTCCTCACCTGTAAAATGGAATAAAGAGGCTCTGAGGAACTAAGGTGCTTCACGTTCAATTTTTGCCAGTAGCATTCCCCTGTATGGAGCAAGGCTGGGTGGAGTTTGCGAGAGCTCATGGTCTCTCCTTGTCTCTGTGCTCAGGAGTCAAGGTGGGGGTGCTGAGGGGTGCACACAAGGGGTTCTGAGAAGATGCTCTGGGCCCAGGGGGAGGGTCTGGATGAGTGGAGGCTGGAGGCTGGGTCGGGGCTGAGGGAGAAGACACACAGCTCAGAGCCAGCTAGGCCTGGGCACACAGACAAGGCTATAAATTTTGGACTGAGCCTCTGAGTTCTCCAGGGACCTAACAAAACCCTTATTGGCTAATAAGGAGGATTCCTCAGATGGGGGTTGCAAGAGGCCCCTGCCAGGGCCAGCAAGAATGTATTCCTGCTTCCCCAGTTCTCAGTGTTCCCCCAACCCTGCTCTGGTCTCTGGCCCCAGGTCAGGAGAAATTAGAGAGAAGATGAATTTTTAAAGCTTAAAGGAGGCCCAGTTTGGGGGAGCAGGGAGATAGGTCGAAGATGTCCTCCTGGGCCCACCCAGCCCTTTTGCCCTGCAGTGGTCTCTGACCTGGGAAGGAGATGCCTCATCTGGGAGGCCCTCCAGAGCCCCACTAGAACAACTCCCTCCTTAACCCCCAACCAGTGCCTACCCAAGTTCTCAGGGCACCTCTCACATGTACCAGGCCAGTCTTGCTCACCAGGGACAAGGGGTAGGGGGTGCTCCAGTTAGAGGGAACAGCGGGAGCAAAGGCACAGGCTGCTGTGTGGCTACAGTGGACGAGGAAAGGTGTGGAGTGGCTGGAGGTGCTTAGGGGCCAGGGTGGGCAGTTGGGACTTTCGTCTCTGAGAAAGTCAATTAAGCCAAGTAATGGCTGAGCCACATTTGTACCTAAGAGCCCTTTGGCCTCAGTGTGAAGGCTGGATTGGAAGGAGAGGGACTGGAGGCAGCAGAGCAGTGAGAGACAGCTCAATTGATGCAGCTGGTAAGGCAAGGGACGGAGAAGAGGGGATGCTCCGAAAAAAAAGATTTGGAAGCTGGAAATTATGAAGCTTGAGTTGGCCATGGGAAGGGTTGAGGGGGTTGCTCAGGGTTCTGCCTAGGGACTGAGTAGGTGGTGGAGACATCAGAAGACAGTTTGGGGCAGAGGGGTATGATGGATTTGGTGTTGAACACGCTGAATTGGAGGTGCTTGTGGGACATGTAGGGAAAGATAGGGACCTGGACTGGAGACAGCATTTAAGCCCAGGAATGGCAGCTGAAGGTTTGCAAGTGGATAAGGTGGCCCAGGGAGACCTTATGGAGCCCTGGAGAACACCCGTGCTTAAGGGATAGGAACAGGAGAGGAGGTAGCCAAGGCCCATGATCTCCCCTGGCCTCAGGAGCCTAAACATGCTGGGGCCTTAACTGATCATGTGCCTTTAGGCAAGGCCATTCTCTCAAGGGGTTCGGATAGCTCGGGACAAGTGAAAGAAGCCCACATTCTCCTAGGCAACCTGGAAGAAGACCCCAGAGACCCTCACCCCACAGGACTATCCTAGAGCACCCAGTCCTGCCGCTTTAGCCCTCATCTCTTGCTTTGGAAATCTCTAACTCCTCCCCTGTCCTCAGCTTCCTGCCCTCTGGATGGTGGTGTGCCCAGGGCATGGCAGTCTTTGGATATCTCCTCTCTCACCCTCCCTTCTGACATGATCTTGAAATACCTTTATATGCTTACAGCTCCCCAAATTAGATCTCCAGCCCAGTCCTCTCTCCAGACTTCAGACTCCCAAGTACAACCGCCTACTGGACAGATTTTCATCTCTAAGTCTGCTCCTCCCACACTCTTTCCTAGCTCAGTAAACAGCAAATTCAATCTTCCAACTGCTCAGGCCAAAAACTTTGAAGTCACCCTGACTCCTCTTTCTCTCTCATACCCCATATCCTAGCTGTCAGCAAATCCTAGAGGTGTTATCTGCAAAATGTATGCAGAATAAAACCACCTCTCACCACCACGCCACTGTCTCCCTGGCTCCAGCCACTGCTGTCTGTTTTGCGTTACAGCAGTGGTCTTCTGACTGGTCTCCCAGCCTCCTTCCTTGCTCCCACTCAGCCCCATGGTCTAGTCTCAATATA